ATTTGATTTATTAATTTATTTATCTATAAAGAAATAAATATTAATATATACCTTATAGAAAATACTAATGGTATCAAAAATGTATAAAAGAATTATATATATATATATATAGATATATACCTTAAATTACTCAATATTCCTACTCCCGCTTCCAGCCTTGGTGCCGGTGATTGTGCAGACCAGTCAAGCCTATGTCTGGGCGCTTCGGCGGCGACGCAGACGTGGCCGATCGAGCGAGGGGAAGCCGATCACGACGCCTGGAGCCCACGAGACCGGATCTGAGTCCGTCTTCGCGGCTCGGCAGGTCAGTCTGCATCTGCTCGCCCGTGACCAGTCGCTGTTGCTCTACCGCCTGCTCGTCTGCCTGGCCAGCTTCGTCGTGCTCGTCTTGTCTGTGCTGCCGCAACTTGTCCAATTGTTGGTTGTCCACTCGACGTCCGGCAGCCGCGCATCCGGTCGCAGCGTTGCCGTCGCCACCACGCTCGCTGCTGCTGCCTCACAGAATCTGCCGTTGCCATGGGGCTGGTGCCAGACGCTGGCCTATGCCGACGTCGCATCGCGCCTTCTCGCCACGTATCTGGTCGTCGTGCCTCTTCTCCTGCTCGCCTGGCACAGTCTGACGCTGGGACCGTTGCGACGTGCCCAACTGGCCTCGGCCAACGTCTTTCGCGTCGTCGTTCGCTCCGGTCTCGCCATTCTCGTCTTCGCCCTCGCCTTGCCCGTCGCCTTTGTCGGGCAGATGTACGCCCGACGCTGCGATCTTCACGTCGCCGCGACTGCCGAATCCGCCAGCGTCGGCGTTGGCGTCAGCGTCGGCGTCGGCGTCGGCGTCGGCGTCGGCGTCGGCGAGCCGGTCGAGACGCGATGCTACTGCAGTCCGGCCGGCAGTGGACACGCCAATTGGGTGGCTTTTGAGTTGCTCGCCGCGCGTCTTCTTCCCTGCGGCCTGCTTCTGTTGCCATGTGGTCTGCTCGTCTTCACGTTGCCGCGTCGCCATCTCGCACTTCTGCTCGAGCCAACCCTTTTTCTTGTCTTTCTGCTGCCAAATCTGGTCGCTGAGACTATGCTGCAGACGAACTTGCTCGCCGGTCAGATGAGTCGCATCTTCAATTCCGCTTTCGCCGACTATCTGCTCGTCTCACGAGCTCTCTACCACGCCGGTTTCTGTGCCGT